AAAAAAAAAAAAAAAAAACGGTGCCGACAAATATGTATTTGCACCAATAATAGGAATGGGAGGTTCGATCGAGATCCTCCAGGTCCAACGATTTTTGGTAAAAAAAATTCCGCGAGTCTTAATTCCCCGGATCGTTACGGACTTCCTCGCTACGCGTCTACGTGGTATAAAGATTAAGAGACACTGGTTTGGCAGTGGAGAGAGGAAAAAACTGGATGAGAGAAAAATATATATAAAACCAGTATTCTTATGACTCCGGTTCGTGTAATTTTCGGTGTAATTTTCGGTGTAATTTTCTGGATAATGCGAAATAAAATATCGCGCAAAATTGAAACGATGTAATCAACGATTTCGTTGGATTGAAATTCGCTCCGCTTTCTCCGAAAAGAAAGAGATCCGAGATGACAATCGATCGGCGAGGATCTCGACCAAGCCCGTCCGGTTGGTTCCGCTCGGAGACGAGTCGAAAGGAGTAGCGGTCGGATTCGATCCGTAGTAGGGGAGGGGGATCCCTCCCGCGTGAACGAAACCGTAACGAGCTGGCCCGGTCCTAGGACAACCGGCTCGTCATCGCGAGGAACCGGCTCGATGGTGGGGCGATCGGTACAGTTACTGAGGCGAATTAGCGAATAGCCCAAGAAACGGACGAAACGGGAGTCAATCTGACGAACAATTTGACGGAGTTCCTTCCAATTCTCTCCAGAAGGAAGAGGGATAAGAGAAGGAAAGATGGAAGAATGTTGACGCACTATCGAGACGATTATTATTAAAAAAAAAAGAAAAAAGTAAAATAAAAAAATAAAGAAAAAGCAATTATTATCCGTGTAATTAAATTGCAAAGACGCAACGATGACACGCGATTAATCGTGCATAATCGATGAATATGCACGACGAGACACGTAAATGCATTTCGTCGATCGAACGAAATCGAAATCAGGGGGGTGAAGAATTTTGAATCTCCGTGCTTTTCATCCGGGAAACCGAGTGAAGAAGATCGCCTTATCGCTGGATCGTAAAGAAGGGGAGGAGGGGGAAGGGGAGGAGAAAAACGAGGAACTAATGATCCACGAAGAGCGATCTCGGTGGGACGTCGGTACAGTTACAAAGGTGAATTAGCTGGCCGAGAGAGGTTACACCGCGATTAACGACAGAGAGGAGATAGCGAGAACGTTACACCCGGCTCCTCTCAACTTCTTTCTCTCTTTCTCCTCTCTCCTCGTGTACACGAGCTCGCGTCTCGGTGGGAGGATTCCGGTGTGTCCACCTGGTAGGAGTGGTGCACCGATGCACACGCTACGTCTACCTAGAGTACCGTCTCCGTCTCACTCGCGATAATCCCTTCGAGCGGCACGGATCCGAGGAGAGAGGGGAACAGAGAGAGAGAGAGAGAGAGAGAGCGTGTTGGCGAGGAAGCCGCCAGCAGTAGAGGAAACCGGCGGTGGAGATCGAGGAGCGTTAGAAGAAGGAGAGGCGGTGCGGCAAAAGGAAGGAACGATCGACGACGGAGAGAAAGAGGGAGAGAAAGAGAGGGAGATCGGGAGAGCGAGAAAAGAAGGGGGTGGGAGAGGGCAGGTCGCGTGCCGGCGTGGTGCTGCTGCTGCTGCTGCTGCTGCTACTCTCCTTGGCTGAAAGAGAGGAGAGCACTTACCTTCCCGACGTCTCTCACGGTTAAACACGCAGGGGGAGCTCCTTGCCACGCTATCCTTTNCCATCCTCGCCGATATCAGGATAACATAAGGACGAGCGACAGCATCGTACGCGAAGATCGATAATACGAGATCGTTTGAAACGGGTGACAACAACGGGCGACGATCTCTCTCTCTCTCTTTCTCTCTCTCTCTCTCTGTCTCTCTCTCTAGTCAACGAAGAAGGATAATTGTGGGATATCGTTTGATTCGATCGATGATCACCGAGCTGGCAACCGCGGTATCGTTGGACGATCGGTGACCGGTTGAAAGGATTTGGAAAGAATCCGCGCCGAAAAACGTGGGCCGCGTGACGCGCGGCGAAAGAGAGCGAGGGAAGGTGTCTGTCGGTCGAACACGTGGTCGCCGCCGCCACGAGGCACGGCCTCTTGCAACAGGGAATCGTTTCCGATTCGTCGTCGCGGAGGCTCGCGAGCATCGTGTTTTCAAGATGTTCGATCGGACGTTACGATCTGGATACTTGTAGATATCTCATCGGTTGAAGAATCAAGAAGAGGAAGAAGAAGAAGAAGAAGAAGAAGAAGAAGTGCTCTGAGAGTGTGCCGGGGATTAGTGTGCCGTTGTTGAAAAACCAGGTGTGCCTTCTCTCTTTCTATATATATATATACATATATATATACCGTTTCCCCTCTTCGTTTTCTTCCATCTTCTTCTTCTTCTGTTCCTCCCTTCGATCGACCGACTATCTTCTCTTTTCTCTCCCGTGGGTGAACGCGTCGAACTGTTTACATGCATCGTGGAACGCGGAAAAGAGTTTGACGAAAAAAAAAAAAAAAAAAAAAGAAAAAGGAAGGAAAGAAAAGAAAAAGGAAAGGATAAGGAGAAAGGGAAAAAAGAAGAATCGGGGACAGGTGGAAAAGTGAGAAATTGGAGTTGAACCGGAAGTGCAGTCAGCTACCCTATCGGCTTCAAGGTCATGGAATGACGCATAAGGTAAATCTATTTGTCTTCCTTCGACTTCGTTCTTCGGGTTCCGTTGCAAAGGGTTCGAGGGTTCACCTGCCGCCTTTTGAATATTTATGAAGCCCGCCCTTTGAATCGAAGAGAGCAGAGATTGAAATTGATCGAGATATCTCTACCTTCGTTCTCTCATACGGTCGATCAAACTTCGATCCGTACTCCTGTGATCTTTCATTCGTTTTTTTTTTTTGGAGGGAATTATTTTAACGTTTGAATTCGGATCGTTTCGAGATAAGTAGCACTTAAGGACGTAGAGCAGTCGACGAAATCTTGGTTCGTACTCCTGAGATTTTCCTGGCAATCGTTTCAAAGGAACGAGTATCCTTTGATCTAGATATTTTTAATCTTAATAGGAAATCGAATTTAACGAATGTCCTTTGGTCGAAGACAGACTCGATTTCGATACGAAATCTTTTTAATTCGTCAGTTTCGTTCTTCTACGAAACGAGATCCTCTCAACTTTGATACAAAATTTTATTCGTGAAAATGAAAATATCTCGACGATACATTTAAATCTTAAATGCAAATATAATACAAAATCTAAAGATGAACGGGTACCAACACTTTCCAAATTATTCAAAATCCCTATTTGACAACAGTTGACAACGAATCATGACGTCGAAGAGTCGAATTAAAATTTCAGTTCAATACCCTCGCGACATTCTTCACGTTCCTTCTTTATCCTCTCCTACGACGATACATCTTTCCAAGTTCGAATGCGAAATCCTGGTTAACGACCGGGGCCTGCCACGACGAATTAAATCAAATCCCTCTCACAAAGTGTAGAATTTATGCCCGAGAGGAATTACGAACGGAAGAAATCGGTCCATCTCTCACCGGGATGGGCGGATAAAAAAGAGAGGGAGGAGGAGGAGTAACGAATGGATCCATAGATCGTTTTCCGTAACGC